CTTCGCAAACCCCCCCCCCCCCCCCCTCAATAGCTCCATAGCGTATACATTCTTACTTTCTTCCTTCTACTTTCTCTTTTTTACTCCCCCCATTAATTACAAGATGCCAGCTTCCATGCTCGAACAAGAACTTAAATGCATTCTTCTTGTTTCATCCATACATTTCAAAACAGTTTCATTCTCTCTCTTAAACGTGACATGTCTACGTACGTATTTGTGTGTGTCCAAAACTTTATCTAATGTTAATATATGCATATTTTTTAAAGGTATTTCTCCCAATTAAAAATACATTAAAATAATTATTTTTCTAAAATTTTCTCTTAAAATCATCATAAAACACTAAAAAAATATTAATTTTTTTCAAACTAAATACAATTCCAAACATAAAACAAATAGTTTCTAAACAAAAAGTAAAAGTAAAAAGTAAAAAACTAGACATCTTTTCTTTTTTCTTTCTTTTGGTCCCTCCTGCTATACGAATGGATGAAAGTTATCTGATTATAAATTACTCCATTCGATTGATCAGTTTGTTCAAGATTGTGTGATCTAATTGCACATCTTATATTTCGTTTTTAGCATTGTCGGGTGCATACAATTTCTTTCTTAACATATGCTTTTGTCTTCGGATCCAAATTTTATCCCTAAAGATTAAGTCCTGCAAACAGAACAAGATAAATACTTTATATGAACTATGAACTGCATGGCTAGCCGTTTAGATGTAACGGTGTGATTAAGTTCCAGTAGAAAAGAGGTCGACGATGGTATAAATATGGAAGTTAAGGTCATGAGAATACATTGATATATGACGAATATTATTAGAACGAAGTAAACTTATTTTCTTTCTAGTGAACTATGAAGGGATAAAAACCTTGGAAGTTTTTATATAGGAAAATGCTGTACGTGATGAGTGTTAGGATTTCCATGCACGTGAGGTGGTAGAGATGATAAAAGTCTCCTCTTTTCTTTTGCTTTTTAGCCCTCCAATGTCTTTTCCCTTGTGCTTCAGAGTGCCCAAAAATGACCATTCATAGTTTTTTCAGCCAAACCTTCTGGCTTCCTTAGGGCACAACCCTCACTCACTTGTGGGCAAAGCATTGATGTGGTTAGCTAGTAACTTAGTGATTAATTTCCGTTTAATTTCAAAAATATGAGCAAAGCAGATTAGAGATACATAGGAATCAATTTCAGCTTCTCAAGTACATGTATATGTAATTATGGGTAAGAAGAAAATGCAGTTCATACAATGCTATTACTTTGATTAAGGTGAAAACATAAATTTAATGATATCTTCCATGGAAGTAATTTGCTTATGTGTTTTCTGAGCATGTTCTTAATTTAAAAACAATTAAGTTGCGAATTATTTAGCAAATTAACAAGGAGTTTGAGCAAGTTGATTTTATTATATGGTTCTAGTTCTTATCTAGAGTTTATTTTATTATGAATTTGTTATGAGTTTATGTTCTTATTGGCTTTAATTGTTATTAATAAAACTCTTGTTTTTCGTTAAAAAAAAATATAGTTAAATATTAAGGATAAGATCTAATATATATGTGAGAGAACCATCACATAATTACGAGTAATTGTGCATTAATGTGTAATTGAAAATATATTAAATTATTATTATATATATATTAATTTTTTTTTACACAATACATTAAAACAATTTAAAAGTATTAAAAAAATAAAAATAAAATTCAAATCCTAAACAAATAGTATTTTGACTGGACTACTACCCATAAAAGGCCCGCGGTCTAACTTTGTAGGCAAGGGACTTTTTCTTTTTTTGATAAACAAACAATAAAGAACACACGTTAGTTTTTGTTCTACACAACTGGGCCCGCTGTGTCAATAAAGGCTAGGCCCAACTTGATCATATTCATTTTGGATTGAATAGAATTATTAAAGTCGGTTTGGTTCTAGAAGGAGTTCACGAGTTACATGAATTACTTGAGTTAATTAATTTTAAAAAATTAAAAATAATATTATTTTGAACAATAATTTTTAAACTCAAATCAACTCCATTTTTTTTATTTCAGGATATTGTGATTTATAAATGAAGATTTGATATTTATTATGTTTTAGTTTATTAATACATAATTTAAAAATATAATTTTTTTAAAATTCATGAAAGAACAAAGTACTTAATAAAATTCGATGGGTTTCTAATAAAATTCGATGGGTTTCTACATTTATATTATGTCCGGACGCTTGAATATTCATTTGGACCAAACTCGTTACCTTCTTGAATTGTATTTGTGATAGATCCTATTTTAATTTTTCATTAATTTTATTATTAGATGCATGTATTATAGAAAATACATGGGTTTCTTGACATTATACTTAAAAAAAATTTTGTTCAATATTATAGTAATTATTTTTTTTCAAGCCATAGAGAAAAAATCATATTGTTAGTTAAATAATTCTTGCCTATACCGACTCAACATGAAATTGTATTTAAAATCTTCATTTTATAAAAGTTAAATGCATAATTTTTATTTATAATATGTTTTCATCAATAAATACACACTTTTCATTTATTTTACACACAAAAAATTATTTTACAATAATTTTAATCAAACATATTTTTTTTTAAGATGTTTAGTATAAGCAATGGTTGTAATATTAAAAATAAAAAAATTATAAAAAATATTTTTTAAAAATTACATATCCATCATATTACCAGCACTTAAAGCTCGGGGTTGGTAAGTCGGGGTATGGTTTCTCCCTAATAACTCGAGATGGGTGTTTGCCAGGATGGGCCCGAATTATTTCTCAATAAAAAGTATTTTCTCATTAATACAAATAGAGCCCACTAATAAAAAGCCCAAACATTGTCAGGCCCACAAAAGCAGTTAAAAAACTTCCCGCTCTGTTTTAAAAAACCGAGTAAATAGCCTTACGTCTCTTTTATTTTTATCTTCTTCGCCTTCACTCTCTCAACAAATTTTATTTTTATTTTTTAAAAAAAGTTAAAACTATCAACAATTTTTTCTACTTTCAGTTTAACCCTGACAGAAAAAGATTTCAAGCATTAAAAAAAAAAAAAAGACAAGAAACTAAACTAAAATAGGGTTTCATTTCATGGATTCTCCTAAAACCACCACCGCAACAACCACCATCTCCGCCACCACCGCTGTCAGTTTATCAGATTCTCCTCCAGTTCAAGTAACTTCATTTCTTTATTTTTTTAATTTAATTCACTCCAATTTTTTTGATGTTTTTTTTAAAGGATTTTTGTTTGGTTATTTTACATATGTGTGCCTTTAAGGATCTGATTGTGATTTTTCTTGGTTCAATTTCAGTGGAAGGGCTTAAAATTAGGGATGCATTTTTTTTTTTATGCCGGTGGAGATATGTGAAATTGCTTCTATTTAGTAATTGATGATCAAAGTTGAAGATATTTGGTTCATAGGGATTGTAGACTTTGCGATCAGATTTTGCTGTTGTTGTAGGAATAGGTTTTGAAGTGACAATGGTGGTGTTATTGGCTTTCTGATGGAGGGATGTATTGAATATTTTGGTTTTGCAAACATGTCTTTGTTTCTCTATAGCATTTAGTTTTGTTCAAGTACAAAGAGTTGTATCGGACCTGCCTGTACGTGGATTATGGTTTTTTTTATGTATTATGTGTTAAATGAAGACCCATCAAAGAGAAAAATGCTGTGGAGGCTGTTATGATTACTTATTTTTATTATTTTTTCTGTGTGGTGTTGTGGATGAATTGAAATTATCTTTTGGAATTACAGTTGGTGGAGAGTGTAAGATTTTGATTTTCTCTTGTTCTGTTTCTGGCTTTCTACACTTCAACTTGTGGGTGAGTAATTGGGATCTGTTTGATTGTTTTGTTTTATTTTTTTTGCCGTTGGATGCTTTGTTGATGTGATGAAAATGGAGGGTTCTCCAGAAAGTGTCCTGTACGTGTTATCAAGAACTGTGGATATTCTCAATTGGAAAAAAAAAAAAAAAAAACTATGAGAGAAAAGATTGCGGATATCCTGTTTACGTTGTCTCTTACGTTTCTAGGAATCCCCGTTTTCTAATTACATAAGCAGGCTATCCCCTATTAAGCCTGTCAAAGATTCGCATGTAGCACAAGGACTCCTAGGAATCAATTCTCCTCCACTTGTCTTCACGTCACCACGGATGTTATCAGACCGCCAAACAAATTTCCTGCGAAGGTTTGAGATGCTTGATTTTGATGTTCTTACAGTTTTGAATTTATGAGTTAGGGCTTAAAGACTGTTTACGTGGCAAGTTTATATCTTTCCAGGTTTCAATGTCCTCAGATATCTGGGGCAGAGATATCCAAGAATGATGGTGGAAGCAAGAAATCTGCTGATGGTCCAGAGGACCTGAGGAAATCTAGCACCTATTTGAATAGCAGGCTGATTGTTGATGTCCAGAAGAGCAATAATATCAACAACAACTCTGAACAAGACCAACCTGGCAGCTTCTCAGGGTGCGTTGATGAGTACTTATCTGATCCCGTGGATGTAGATTGTGCAGACTCAGTTAATTTGGTAAGCCAAATTGTGAAAAGATCTGACGATGCACATCAGTCATCAGAAAGTAATTTAACCAACTCGAAAATAGCTATACTAGAATCAGATGGCATAATTGATACGGAGACAAAAGGGGAAGCGTCTCAGGCCATGCCTGAGCAAGATGGAGAGGATCCTAAGGAGCAGTCAACAACTGAAACCAAGAAGGAAAAAATTGAAGAGGAAGGAAACATTGTTGAACAACCATCTCATGTCTGCCCAAATTTTGTGTCTGACTTGCTTGTGGATCATGCTTCCAGGCAACAACAATGTGACACTTTAGGGGCTCAGGTAATACCAGCTTTTGTTTTCTTTTGTGAAACTAGGAGTAAAAGTGTAGAACCCCTGAGCCCTGATGTGAAGAGATGTAAATGTTAGCCCAGTAATCTTTAAGTTAACTATTTACGCTCAACTATTGCCTAAACCCTTTCAGGCTGCTCCTCCACATGAAGATTATGGTGAGGATGGGGTAACTGTCTTGCATGGACCTGTTCAACTCATAACACACCATGGTTCAGAGGTATGAATCAGTCTATCTTAAAACTCATCTTCCAGGTTGGCGTTCTCAGAGCAGGGTGGCTGATGAATCATGTGTATTTCAAATGAGATTTTTCAATTCATCGCTCAGTTAAAATTATAGCTACTGAGAATTTATTATGAAAAAATGCACACTATCAAGTAGCATGCTTTATTTGGGTGGTGCTTCCTGATCACATATTTAGGAACCACTTTATCAAGTAGCATTCCTATGAATCACGTTTTAGTTCATTGGCCCTCACCTTAATAATAAGGGTAAGTTAAATTTATGAAGCTTGCAAATCTCTAACAGTTGAGGAGTTATACGTGCGTATGGTCATCTAGAAAAAACTGATATGGGGAAATTGTGGTGATTCTTGTGTTTTTTAAGTGACGTTGGAGAAAAAAATTTCTACAGATAGTCTATGCCATTTAAGGTTGTGGATTTGCTGTGCTATTCTTCTGCTTATTTGAGTCCATATGATGACTTCTCTCCTCATTTCTTAATCTATTCTTGCATGATAAAAACACGCACCTATGCGCACTCATGGTTTATGTAATTTATAGGTTATGCCACTTAATGGAAGTCAGGTGCATTTTCACACATCCACCGTGAAACTAGCGGCCCTCGTTATTTCTTTTGCAATCACATTTTAGCAGGATTTTTTTTTTAGTAGAGTGATTTCAATAGTAAATATAGGTCAGTCAGCTCCAACGTGGCATGAGTAGACGCTGCCTTCAGTTTGAAGAAGCTCAACAGAAAACACCTATGGATGGCACATATTCTCTTGATTCAGCAATCACTATAATTGGTTCAATATCATCTTCTTCCAATACAGAATTGGAGATTTTGGATTCATCTCAGGTGGAGTTACCCAGCTCTTCCAGCAAGAAGCAAACGATGTTTGTGTCCAAGCCATCCGGTTTTGGCTTGCATCTCAATAGCATTGTCAACACTTTGCCAATAGGATGCAGTGCATCAGAACCTATCATGAGCCACCATTCAGCTGGGTACAGAATTAGTTGCTCCAAACTACCCAATTTAGTTGAAAGAGTCTCTTCAACTGCAGAAGATGAAGTGCTCTCACTTGCCACAGGATCTGCCATTTCCGAGTCTCTTCGCCCCAAGGAAACTTTAAATAAGTTGCAGCCACCTGAGCATCAGGTAACCCCACACAATAAGAGGAGATTTAGCTCAGAGCATGCTGACAATTTTGAGTTCAACCAATCAAGCCCCAAGAAGAAAAGGCAAGATTATGTGATAGTTTTCATATTCAACTTTTGTTTTCCTCTCTCTCTCTCTCTCTCTCTCTGCACCTCTAAACTTTTTATGATCTCCAGGAAGAAAGTATCAAGCACTGATGGTGATGGTTGCAAACGTTGTAACTGTAAGAAGACAAGATGCTTGAAACGGTGAGTGATTTCAAGTTTTCTTGGTAATAGTCATACTCACATATTTGTAATTTATTTAAATTTGTTTGTCTTTTGTTTTTTTAACTCTCTCAACTATTTGTCCAGATATTGTGATTGTTTTGCGGCCGGAATCTATTGTGCCGAAACTTGTGCTTGCCATGGGTGCTTGAACAGGCCTGAATACGAGGATACTGTTCTTGAAGCACGGCAACAAAAAGAATCGCATAATCCACTTGCTTTTGCTCCGAAGATTGTACAGCACGTGACTGAGTTTCATGCAATCAATGTGGTACCAAGCCCTCATTTGGTTTTTTAGCAATTTATTTTTTGACTGGGAAATTTGGTAATCATGTCTGCTTATCACAGGAAGATGCAGGCCTGTTTACGCCGTCCTCAGGTAGGCATAAGACAGGATGCAATTGCAAAAGGTCAATGTGTGTGAAAAAATATTGTGAATGCTATCAGGTGTAGTATTTTGTTCATATCAGATTTTGCCATCATCTTTGTCAAAATAACCAGTTCTCAATATTTCTAACTTTTCTATCTGTCATGTTTAAAAGGCTAATGTTGGATGCTCCAATGCTTGTCGATGTGAAGGGTGCAAAAATATCCATGGTAGGAAAGAAGGTGAGAAATTACACAGAAATTAAATTTTGAATCAACTCTTTAGCTGCCATCATTTGCCACAAATTATGATAAGAGTTTTAGCAATTACAAGAAATTTGAAAATTCATTTCTCAGCCTCTGTGGATTCTCTTTTCAGCTTTACAAGACATTAATTTTAATGACTATATATCATGTGGAAAATTTTACATATTGTTTTGGTGGTTTGGTGAAAGGTAATTTAGGGAAAACCTGGAAGTGTCATAGAATGTTTGGATGCACCGAAAATAGAAGTGGTGAATAATTCATTACTCTTTCATCATAAAGAAGAAAAGCAATATTCTATCAGTGGAATGACGAATGATATTTGTTGATGTATTTACAGAATATGGTATGACAGAAGAAATAGTAAGTAATAGAGCTAATGAAGAAAGGGTAGAAAGTATGGCTGATAACAAATTCAAAATGATTGCAAACAATAAATTTTTACATGCCGAGCTATATGATCTGCGCAGCCTCACACCACCAACACCGTCATTCGAATACTCAAGGTATTTTTTTTTTATTAAGATTTTTTTTTTCTTGGGAGATTAGAATATTTAAGTCCTTTTTGTTTGAATTGCTTATAGTTCCTTTTTCTTAGCCATGGAAAGGAGGCAGCAAAATCCCGACTCCTTCCGGGTAGGTATGTTCTATCGTCCGAGCCTGATTTTTCCATGCTGCCATCTTATGCAAAATCCACAAGTTCTCCTAGCAATTTACATGCCAATGACAAGCTTCGCAAAACTAGTAAAGCCCTCGACGTAGTTTCCCACGGCCAGGAACTGGATTATAACATCACTGAGACAATGGGACAATTCTCACCACTATTTGATGAACTAGCCGATTTTTCTGATCATACTCCATTGCCAAATCCTTACCCCATCATGATGGCTTCGTCTTCATCTAAAACGCGGGACACGGCAATTAATTCACAGCTTCGTCTGTATCATGGAAATGGTCGTCTCTCATCTGCTGGTTCTCTTCAATGGCGGAGTTCACCAATTACGCCAATAACTCGGTTAGTTGAGACCAAAACTCAAGCACTTGACTCCGGTTGTGGGCTTTATGACATTTTGAAAGATGACACACCCGAAATATTTAAGGAATCTCCTACCCCTCTCACATCTGTTAAAGCAAGTTCTCCTCATAAAAAGCGAGTTTCTCCTCCTCGTGATCACATCCATGAGTTTCAATCGAGCTCGTCAGCAAGCTTGAAAAGTGGGCGCAAGTTCGTATTGAAGTCTGTGCCTTCTTTCCCTCCCCTCACTCCCTGTATCGATCCCAAAGATCGCACCCAACAGAAATACTAGAAAAATAGATATTTGTTAGGTGAGTCTTTCTCATGTTTCTTGTCATTTGTGAAATAATTATTGATTTATTTACTTATCCTTGATTGATCAATTTGCTCCTTTGTATTGCAGTGATGTTGGATATACTTCATTCAAGGAAAGTACATATATAGCTATGATCAGGTTCCGACATGGACCTCATATGGTTCTTAATTGATAAGTTAGATACTTGATTGTCACAATCTTTCTTAAGTAGGTGTGTCGAGTGACCACAGATTCAGGGTATACGTGAACTCATGCAAGAGATGTAGTCAGGCATGATCATCATATTCAATCTTTTATGTTTGCTCCTTTTTCCAATTTCAATTCATATCTTTCTGTTTTGCAATTGGATGTTTCTACTGTTGATTTGATTTCATTCATGGCTGGTGGAAGGAACTGAAGGCTGATCTTGTTTGTTAAAGAATGTGGAGGAGGGTAGAAAGTTGTTGGAAGAGGGAGGATAATTATTTTCCCCCTTTTCCGTTGCGATCAATTACGCCTTTCTGTCCTTTTCTTCTTCCCTCTTTACCTTCCTTTTAGGCTTGTAGTATGTCATGCAGCTCGGGTGGGAATCATCCTCTTTGCATGGGACAGGTTGACTCATTAGCCCTGATGCATGTATATAAAGGCCTCCTTTTCTCTTAGTAATGTAAGCAAAATATAAGAATAATGTACGAAGCTTGAGAAAGCGTTTTAAACCGAAACCTACTTGTTCTTTGGCCTTTCCTTTTTTTCCTATTTTTTTTTTGCCTCTGCAACCTTTAGCATTTCTTTCTTCATATCAGAGCTATTAGTTGTTTAGGTAACTATGGAGAAAGAATCCGAAAATCAACAAACATCATTTTTTGCTGTAAAATTAACCTCATGTTTCCACAACCTGTTGGATCAGAAGAACTCATACCATCTTGATAATGATGACATACCAATTCCCAGTTTGGTGGCTAATCTTCTGACCACAGAAAACTATGTCATTTGAGTAAGAGCTATGAAAAGGCTTTTGGAGCTAAGAACAAACTTGGTTTTTTTTATGAGAGTATCATAAAACTTTTGGATCCTAATGAACTCTTTTTGAAAACTCAGGGAAAATGCATGGATATGATTGTTTCTTGGATTCATAACTATGTAAATCCTTCAGTAAAGTCCTTTTTTATCCTTGTAAATAATGTATATGAAATTTAGAATGAACTTTGCAAGAGACTCACTTAAAAAAAAGTGCTAGGATTTTTCAACTAAAAAGAGCTTATCTTTACTCAAGAGAATAATTTAGTCAGTGTCTACTATGAAAAACTGAAAATAATTTGGGATAAGTTAACATCACATTATCCTATGCCAAGATAGATAAAGGTCCTGATTGATCAATATCAATAAGATTGTGTAATCTAGTTTCTCATGAATTTGAATGAAATGTATTCCAACGTAAGGGATCAAATTATGTTAATGTTATAAGTCAGTAAGCTTTTTTCTCTCATTCAGCAACAAGAAAAACAATATCAAATTTTACCTTGTACATCTACTCCTGAATCAATGGCCTTCCTCACCAGAAATACATCCATAACCTTTAGGACATTTAACAGACTTTACTGCTTGCATTGTAAGATTCAAGGACATCTTTTAGAGGATTGTTTCAAATTAGGGAATGCAACATCTCCCACTTGTAGTCATTGTTATATGGGTGGTCATTTAGTAGAGAAATGGTACAAGCTAGTGGGATACTATCTGGTCATAAGTTACATAACAAGGGAAGAAGTCCAAATATGCATACCAGATAGTCCAGTATGATTGTAGCTGAGAATTTTCTAAAGAATTGGATTAATAAGATGAATTTGATCTCAAATTAGTATCATAAAATCTTATAGTTACTTTATAAGAAATACAATCCAGTAGATATTCATCCTTCTATGGCTTATAATTCAATCATCTGTATGGCTAACTTCACAAGTCTTCCATCTATATTTGGTATCATAACTTATCTCTCCATTTACTCACATAAATTTTTTGATATTAACAATGTTCCTTGGATCATAAATATAGGAGTTACAGATCATATGATATGTAGCATTATATTCTTTACAAAAATCATTGTTACTATGTCTTATAATGTCAAACTTTCTAATGGCCAAGAGGTTCTAATCATGTATATAAGCACCGTTAAACTCTCCAAATTAATCACCCTTAGAATGTTTTGTGCGTCACTTCATTTGCTTTCAATCTCTTTCTTACTCTAAGACGAACTAAAAATGTTTCTTGTTATTTTGTTTTCCTATCAAATGCTTGTTTTCTACATGACCTCATATCATGGACAATGATTGGATTGGGTGAAATGAAGAATGGTCTTTATCATCTCTAGCATATAAAAGCATCTCCTCCTGCTTTGATGTGTAAATTATCCAAGTATTTTGACGTTTATCATTTGCATTCTCCTTATGCTATAAATACTAATCATAATTATAATTTGTGGTATTTTCATTTAGACTATATTTCCAGCTCTAGATTACAACTAATTAAACATTCTATTGTAATAAAAAAAAGCTCATGTTAACATAAATCCATGTATTTAAACCACCATAACTGTAAGAACCTACCTTCACATAACACCAATTCTACTCAATCCAAGAACAAACATGAAAAGCAATGCATTGAATTATTATGGAGAGTTGTCTTAACTTTAAGGAATGAAGAAGCAAAAGTCAAAACAAGTTGAATCAAGTTCTCCTCTATACTTCCTTCTAAGCTTTATTTTTTCTTCTTTAAAAGCACACATTATTTCTTAAACTCCTAGTAGGACACTATATTTAGTCACATATTCGACTATCTCTTTCTTTATTTTCAACCATCAATAAAATTCTTTCAGATCCCTATACATCTTAGTGCTTCCTGGATGTATAGTAAATCTAGACTCATGGATTTCTCCCATTTCAATTTAATTCATACCTAGATCTTGAAATAATTTAGGATATTTTCTTCTCATCTCTGATTCCCTTTTCCAGGTCTTTTCTTTTACTTGAGAGCTCCTCCATAAGATTTTAATCATTGGTATCTTTTTATTCCAAAGCTCCATTTCACTCTAGTCTAATACCTTTACTTATTTTATTTCATAGATAAATGTTTTTTTTTTTACTGGAGTTTACACATGTTCTGCTATCAATGAAACTCCCTACTGCTTTTATCCTTTGGCAAGACAACATAGACTCTATTTTGATAAAAATCTACATAAATCTTTTTTCAACTTTGAACTCATACAGTATGACTTATTGGGACCATATTCTATGGCAATTTATGGTGGAAATAGATATTTCTTGACCATTCTGGATGACCTATCTTGTAATACCTAGGTTTATTTACTTAACAATAAATCAAGCACACAAAAATCTATAGGGTCATTCTATAATCTTGTTAATACTCAATTTGGATCTAAGGTTAAATATCTAAGAAGTGATAGTGAAACAGAGTTTTAAATGCAACAAAATGAGATAGTTGAGAGAAAACATCAACACATCTTAAATGTTGCTAGAGCTCTTAGATTCTAAGCTAACTTACCTCTTGAGTTCTAGAATGATTATATACTTACCACCACTTATATTGTAAATCAAATCCCTACACCTTTACTACAAAACAAGACACCTTATGAAGCTATCTTCAAAACTAATCTCATATATCATTACTTGAGAGTCTTTGGATGCCTTTATTTTGCAACCACTATAAGTTAGGGAAGGAAGAAGTTTGACTTCAAAACAGAATGTATTTTTCTTGGTTATCTTTTTGGGGTGAAAGGTTATTAGTTGGTAAACTTTGAAACAAATAAAATTTTGTTGTCCGGAGATGTAACCTTCCATGAATAAATTTTTCCTTTCAAGGCATCTGTATTTGAAACTCCTTCTTCTGATATAATAACTTGTATGATATAACCACAACAATATAATTCTCATTATTCTTTTGTTTCAGATCCCCTAAATAACATTTACATGTTTTTTTTATCAAATACTCGACACTTTTTGCTCACCTTCTAATTTAATTGACCTATCTTTAAATAAAAACATTTCTTTTGATATACATGACACAAGTATTCAAACCAACTCACCACAATCAGATCCTGTTGCCTCTTCAAATCATCAATATTCTTACATTTCCACAACTTCACCTTCTACATCAGACCCCTTGCTTTTTATCTTTATGTTTGCAAGTGTGCTAAGATGAAACAAGCTCCTAAATACTTACAATACTTTCATTATCACCTGGATTTCTTAAATTCTCAATTCTTCCTTCTTTCACTTGATTCTTTCTTAGATTAGTTTTTCATAAGTTAGACTTTGAAGTTTACAAGACTATTCTTTCACTTTTTTTTTTATTTTTTTTAATGTTTTTTCCTTATTTTCTCTTTTTCTCGCTTGCCTTTATTTTTTTACTTGGATTTTTTAATGTTTTTTCCTTATTTTCTCTTTTTCTCGCTTGCCTTTTCTTTTCTTTCTTTTCCTATCCTACTCCTACCCAGGCAACAACATATAAAAGGAAGGAAGAGCTAGTTTATTTTATTTTTTAATGGCAAATAACTATTTTATCCTTAATGAGTCGTTCTAATTTTATTTGACAATCTTTTTTTTATTAGTATTACTAAGCTTTGTTCATTTTAAAATTTTAACCATATTTTATTCAATATATTATAAAATCTCTCGTAAAATTGCAGCTCAATCTGATGGTTGGATTGAAAATTACGTCCAATAATATAAACTGATCAAATTTTGATTTTTCATTATATTTCTGAATTTCTTCAAAAATTCTAAAATTTTAACCCAAGTTAAAGTGTCATATTAGAGGGCTCCACGCAAATTATCAGAATTTTTTAATAACTCAATCAAGAATTGTGAATTTTTTTATATAAAACTAGGCAAAAAATATTAATAAAATATTAATAAATATATATCAACATGGTAAAGAACCAAACATGTGGAGTTAGATTGTCGTTTCATTCATGACATAATCGAAGAAGGCATTTTGACAATTGTATTTCTACAAAATTTCAACTGGAAAATGTTCTTATAAAAGCTCTACCATGTTCAAGAGGGGCATCGTAAACTGCCATGCTCTATCTTCTGGAGCCTGTTAAAGAATACGGAGGAGGATAGAAAGTTGTTGAAAGAGAAAGGATAATTATTCTCTCTTTTTTCCGCTGCGATCAGCTATGCCCTTCTGTCCTTTTCTTCTTCCCTCTTTCCCTTCCTTTTAGGCTTCCAGCATGTCATGCAGGTGGGGGGGGAATCATCCCCTTTGTATCGGACAGGCTGACTCATTAGCCCTGATGCATGTATATATAGGCCTCCTCTTCTCTTTGTAATGTAAGCAGAATATAAGAATTATGAACGAAGCTTGAGAAAGCTTTCTAAACCAAAACCTTCTTGTTCTCTAGCCTTTCTGTCTTTTTCCTGTTTTTTTTTGCCTCTGCAACCCCTAGCATTTCTTTCATTGTTGATCAGTGAAAAATAAAAATTTCATTCTCTTGACCGTAACTAAGCTGGATGGGTTCACAATTTTTTTTCATTGCTCCCCAGTCTTCTCCAGTCATTTTGACTGCTTCCTGCTCTCTACAATTTCCAGTTTCTTGTCTCCATTCACAAATTATGATGCACTAGTAACTTGTCGTAAAATTTTTCACAG